GACTGAACTACATTTCCCAGAAGGCCCCGCATCCTGGGCATGCGTACCGGAGCGCAAGGAAGCTGCGACGCGGAGTTTCACTCTGGCTGTCTCCTCAGAGTCGGAGCCGGAGCCGGAGTTGTGCCCAGGCCGAGCCAGAGCAGCTGCTCGAGGGCGGCGGTGCCCTCATCCTGCCCTCTCGCCCTTTTCAGCCTTGGTGAGAGAAGACAGTCAGGTCACCTGCTAGTCTCCAGGGCTGGGGTCCCGAGGGCGCGGGGAAGACCGAGTTGTGCTTGGACCGGAAGGGGGCGGGCGTGGAAGTGAAGGAGGGCTGGGCCGGGCCGGTGAAGAGTCCCGGGACGAGGTCCAAAGGGAATTGGGAGGACTTGTTTCTAGACTGGAGGTCTCGGAGGTTAGAGTTGGGGGAATTGGGAGGCGCTGGTAGCTTAGACTGGGTGCTGGGTAGGAGGGTAAACGTCGGGCTAGCAGGTGGAGGGGCGCAGACCCTGGGAGTTTGGGTCGGTCAGGAGGAGTGAACCCTTTCCCACAGGACCGGGAGGAGGCGGTGGTGACATTGCCACCCGGCTACCAGTTAGGGTGTGGGTTCTGTTGGGGGTCTGCTTCTAATTGAACGACTCACTGGAGCGGGGGCTTAATTTAGAGGACTTTGCCTCCTAACTCTGCTTTCCTGTCCCAAGTGGGGTCCGCCTTCTAGGAAGTTCCTGTTTCCAGGGACCCTGGGTTACTTTTGCGGGGTTCATAATGTTTGCTTAAGAGGATTTAGAAGACTTTTTCTGGAGCTACCCTTTCGTCCCGCCTTTCTCAGCCAGCTACTGGTTCCACTTCCCTAAGTGCCAGTAGCCCTGGAAATAGTGTGTGCACAGACGCTTGGACCATTAAGAAACTCAAAACATTTCTGCATGCCATCCACGCTCTAGAGTTCTAGAAGGTGGACTTTCTGGTCGCCAAAATTAGGCTTTAACTTAAACCATCTGGGTAACTATGACTAGGTCTCTCATTCATTGCTGTGTGACTTTGGCCAGCCTTTTACCCTCTCTGGTGTGTTGATTTCCTCAGTGCCTATACTGCAGACTGGCTTATCAAGTCCTTTTGGGCTTTTCTATGAAAGGGCTCAGGTTGTTTTTTTGTGTTGTTGTTTTTGACCATTCCCTTTATTGTTTGAGTGGGTAGAGGAAGACTACTGCTCTGCCTATCATGTCAGAAAATAAATCTGGCGGTTTCCAGTCCCCCGTCACAGTACGCGGACCAAACATCTGTGTGTTTATTTTCACCAACTGCTGTTTCTCAATTTAAAACCTGATCATCTTCTTCCTTGTTGGCAAAGGTGCCTTGAAATTTGTGTTGCTGAGTCAGCAAGCCTTTCAGATTTGCCTGGGTTTTGTTGTTTGCGTTTTATATCAAGATGGGAACTTGAACAAGTCATTCCTCCTAAGGATCTGGTGTCTCCATCAAGAAGGGACAATTTGTGCCAGCTCTCCAGAGAGAAGAGGTGAGAGCCATGAGGACTTTATATTGCTATCTTTTTAATCTGGTTTTCAATAGAGAAGGTGGGGTCTGGGGAGGGTAGAATTGAGGTCTCCAGGATGAAAGTGAGCCCTGGGTGTAGATTGTTGATTGCTAACTCTCTCAAATAAATTCAAGTGGCTTCTTGCCAATGACTTCTCCTGTTTAACCAGTCTTAGAGGGTGCTTTCTACATGGTTTGCACTTTAAGACATGCTTTATGGGATGAAGGACATAAGTCACAATTTCTGCATTTGAACTGGAAATTTTTATTTTGTTGCATGAATCTTTACTGGGTGCTTCCTTTGTGTCAAGCCCCGTGCTCAGTGCTGGGGGTACAGTGAGGAGCAACAAGAGCTCTGTCTTCTGGGACTTGGTGGTTTGGTAGAAAAGACAGACAAACCATAGACATTAAACAGGTGTTGTCAGTGTGATATGGATTGAGGGGGGTCTCACAGGACAGAGCTACCACCACTCCAGGAAGGGGGTAGGAAGGAAGATGAGAAGGTCACAAAGGCTTCTGGAAGATGATAGCTAAGGTGAGTTGTGCAGGAGTAGTACTTAGAAAGTAGGGGCAGTAGCCTGGCAGAGGAGTGAGCATATGCAAAGTCGTGAAGCTACGGATACATCTGGGCCACTGTAAGTAGCTCAGTGGTTGGAACAATAAGGGATGGGTGTGGGGTAGAGGATGCTGGAAAGGTGGGCAGAGGGCTGAGTGCGGAGGGTTTTGTGGGCCATGCCAAGGCTCTGGGGAGCAGAAGGATTTTAGCAGTTGTCGGGGGGGAGGAGTGACATTTAAAATTTACACACTGGCTGGAAAGTGTGGGTTTGATTGGATTATTCTCTTTGTGACTGTTTCCTTATACTATGCTAGCGTCTGGTAAGGGGCAGGTGAACATGAGATTTTGCCGTCAGCTTGTTCATGGACATAGAGAACTGTGAAGTTCAGACAGAATGCTGTGGAAGTTGATGAAAGGGTGTTTTCTTTCAGTTGGGCACATCAAGGCATTATGGAGGTGCTATTTAAATAGGACCTTGAAAGTATGGATCAGGTGAGGGTGGGTCGCCAAGTGAATGGGATTCTGTGTGGAGCTGAGGTGTAGAGGTGGGGAAGCGAGATGTAAATGTGGTAATAGATCATCACTTAAACTCTTTGGGAGGAGTTGGGGAGAGAGGAGGGGTTGGGGAGAGGGAGGTATAGATGAAAGGGTATTGAAGGAAAGTACACTGGCAAATACTGTTGATAGAGAGGGACCAGATTGTGATGAGCTTCAATGTCAACCCAAGGAACTTGAACTTTATTTCAGAATTCCAGCGGAGGTGTGGAAGAAACAGGATCAGAACTATATTTCAGGAAGCTCAATCTTGCACCTGTCACAGGTGGACCAGAAGGAGATACAAGAGTTGGGGAAAGCCAGTGGGAGAGAATACTTATCAAGGTGAGAGCCATAAAGGTTTCAACCAGATGCTGGCAATGGGCTCCGAGGAGTTGAGAGGGAGGAGAGAGCAAACCATGGCAACTGCGAGGCAGTTGGGGAGAAGGTTAAGGAGGAGCAGGACTCCAAGGTTTTTCTCCTAACAGCCTGGGTCAGAGTGGAGCCAGGGAATCTAGGAGAAAAGGCAGAAATAGGAAGAAGGAAGGTGAGTTTGGCTTCAGACGTTGAAGGTACCTAAAGTGTCAACAGGAAGGGGACAGTGGGCTAGGGAGAAAAGTCCCTGATTCATTCTATACATGCCTGCAGCAATTGTATGCCAGGGCTTGTGCTTAGCACTTGGAGTACAAAGATAAATGATTTCTTTTGTGTGTTTAATTTTTACCTCAGGCTTGCTTATATTTATTTACTAAGTTATTTTTGTTTGTTTGTTAATCCTTTCCCGAGGATATTTTTTCCATAGTTTTTCAGAGAGAGTGGAAAGGAGGGAGAGGGGGGAGAGAGACAGAGGAGAGAGAGAAAAACATAGATGTGAGAGACACACCGATTGGTTGCCTCTCCGCTGGGGCTGGGGGTTGAGCCTGCAACCCAGGTACGTGCCCTTGTCTGGTGCACAGGTCAATGCTTTAACCGCTGAACCACACTGGCCAGGGCTACTAAGTTATTTTTAATGAATGTAGTAAGCTTCTGTATTCCATCCACTAAAACAAAGGCTTGGGGCTTGAAACAAAAAAATATACGTTGAATCATGCAATCTTCCCATTTTTCATCCTGAGATTACCATTATTTCCTCGCTTTCATTTTAATACAGTTTTATTGTACCTATGTATTTCTAAGGAAAGTAAAATAATGTAATTTTGTTAAGATTTCTCCTCCATATTATTGCATGGCATGTGGTTCATTTATTTTTACTACTAATATTCTATGGTGGAACACACCACAGTTTATGCATCTGATCTTACATTGATGGGCACTTAGTTGTTTCCAGGTTTTAGCTGTTGCAAGTGTTCTTCTCTGAACACTTCTATACACATCTGTTGAGCATGTACAAGAAGTTTTTTTGGGTATAAACTGAGGGGTGATATTTTGCTGGGTCATCAGGTAAGTAAATGTTCAACTTTTGTTGATATTGTAAGATTGTTTTCTGAAGTGGTTGTACCAGTTATAGTCAGACTACCAGCAGCAGTGTAGAGGCCTTCCAGTTGCTCTCCATTTTTGCCAACACTTGATATAGGCAGGCTTTTTAAAAAATTTTGCCAATTGAATGGGTATAAAATGGGATCTTTGGGATCTTGATTTCTCCGTTCCTGAGCCCTGACATTGAGCATCTCTTCATAAGTTTATTGGCATATATATCTCTTGTGAAATATTTGTTCATGTTTCTTCCCAATTTTTCTGGGGGTTTTTGGTGCTTTATTATTATTATTATTGATTTGTAGTTCTTTATATATTGATTTTAATTCTTTATGCACATTGCAAATATTTTCTTCCAGCTGGTAACTTATTTTTCTACTTTCTTTAAGGCATTTTTGGTTGAATGACCATTCTTAATTTTAACATTGTGAGATGTATTATTTTCATTTATAGTCAGTGTTCTGAGTCTTGTTTAAGATATCTTTTCCTGACCATATCCTTGCCTTGAAGGAGCCTATGACCTAGTGGAGGGGACAGGTAAGGTAATTGCACTCAGATATTACATGGACATTGATTGATAGAAGTGGCCAATTCTCCCTGTGGGGCAGGAGCAGATGTAGGAATGATTTCACAGTATATCGAGTCTCAAGCTGGGAATAAAGAGAGGAGTAGGTGGGCATGTGGGATGGACACTCTCTCAATGGGGTTGAGGGGCATGGAACAGCCTGCCTCTTCTGGGTCCTCTCTCGAATTCCTATGGCTGGAGCAGAGGGCTCATCTGAAGAAAGATTTGGGTAATCTGCGTTCATGGCATTATTGAGGCCCTAGGAACAGATAAAAGGGTCCAGAGGAAGTGTAGAGAGGGAGGGCAGACCTGATTTCCTGATGCAGGGAAAGGTGTTAACGCCTGGTGTGACTCTGGGAAGCAGTTGGGGTTCCTAGAGGTGGCGCTGACAAACATGCTGCCTGTTGTGCCATTGGATGCTGTATTTCATCGTCAGATGTTGGGCAAAGACCTACATGTCTGCAGAGGGCATGTTGTTGGGGTGATTAGCCAGAGACATAGGCACTCTCCTACTTTTTAGTAGAAAAATGGGTTCAGAGAAGTATTTCTCATCTGTAGGACAGTGGAACACAGTGACAGATGTTGGGGAGGCAGTAGGGGAGGGGTCAACACACCATGGCCCATGGGCCAAGTCCTACCCACTGCCTGTTTTTGTTAGTAAAGTTTTATTGGAATTGTGCACCTGAAACCTGTATAATTTTGTAAACCTGTGTCACTCCAATAAATTCAATATAAGGGGGAAAAAATGTTTTATGGGATACAACCACTCCAGTTTACACATTGTTTGTGGTTGTTTTCACATTACAGTACTGGAGTTGCATAGTTGCAACAGACACCCTTTGTTCTGCAAAGCATAAAATAAGTGGTTTCTGACCCTTTACAGGAAAAGTTGGCTGACTCCTGCCATGGGGAGTCATGGTAACTGTGGTAACCTGGAGAGTGTGTACTAGCTAGTTGTTTCTGGATGAATGATGAATCTAGGTCAGGCCTGCAAATGTTGCCAGCTTTTCTGGTTTTCAAGAAGCTGGAAATCTGGATTGAAGAAAAAAAAAAATATTTATTGATTTTAGAGGAAGGGGGGGGAGAGAGCAAAACCAGGATGGTTTCTTTCATGGTCAAAGTTATCAGTATTTTTAAAAATTTCTTTTGGTTTGATCATAAAAAGTAATATGGCCATTGTAGTACATTTGCAAGTGCAGAAAGAGGTAAAAAAAAGTCCTGTAATTCCATCATTCCTGTTAACATTTCAGAATTGTTCCTTTTGGCCTTTTAAAAATTATTTTATATAAGGTAGAAAGAACATGGGTTTTATGGTGTCACAGACTGGCTGCCTGACCTTGGATAAATTCTTAATTTCTTTTGACTTCAGTTCCCTTGTGTGTAAAATGAGAATTTCTACTTTCAAGGGTGGTTGAGGGTTGAGAGAACTGGATGACAAAAGCACTAAGCAGAGTGTATGCCACATAGTAGGTGCTCAATAAATGACACTCTCACCTGCCTGAGAGCATAGTGTGTGCACTTACATAGCCTGTATTTTTTATTTGTTGTGAACATTATCTTCAGTCCATAAACTTTTTACAAACATATTTCAAGACTTGCAGTTCATCATTAGGATGTACCATAATTTATTTAAGAATTTCATTATTTTAAGATGTTTAGCTTGCTTCCAGATTGAGGCTTTTTTCCATGGCCAATTATAATAACTTTCATAATTAAGAACACTAAAGAGCCCTGTCATTAGGAACTGAAACAAATTAGGTTTTTGAACTGCAGCTCCCTAATGGCTAAAGTAGTTGTAGAGAATGGGTGCATTGACAGGGCTGCTATATGAGCTTAATTGCTGTGTTCAAGTAGAATGCCAGTGGGCATTTCTGGTCAGTGCCTCAAACACCTGGCCCCTGGAGCTGAGGGTTCTCTCTGTTGTCCTCTGGTATATCAGACTCTCTGGGATATTGGATATTAAAGAGCTGCAGCTCCAGCTTTGGGTCAGCCCTAGATCTGCCCTCGGAGTTCCTGTTCCAGTGGGGAGATAGACACTGAAACCAAGGATAAGTGGAATGTGTGGTGAAGACACTCTTGAGGATGGAGGGCAGAGGGCTCAGGAAGAGGGTGCTATGGCTGAGTCTAGAAAGATGGACAAGTTTGCTTGGGGGCTTAGGTGGAAAGAAGACTACTCTAGACACATGCACCAGCAGGATTAGTGGCTGGGAGGTGGGAAATGGCTCTGAATATTCTGGCACTTACTGAAATTTAATGTGGCTAGACGTAGTGTGGAGGCCTTGATATGAGTGGGGACAGCAGCTGGGCACAGAGGGGTTATTTGCCATGACTGCTTCATCTCTGGGTCTCCCGTACCCAGACAGGGCCTGGACCATGGTGGGCCCCAGTCTGTAGAGACTGAACACTTTTATGAAAAGATTTAGCTGAAGTTATCAACTGTATTTCTCAGGCTGTTTGTCAAAGTTCTACAAGTTCGTTCATCTGGGAATCTGTGGATATACTCTGTGTGCTGATACATTGGAGGCTTCTGCTGCCTGAGAGAGGAATGATGCCTGCCAGGAGGAAAGTCCGGACTCAAGAGTAATTGGCTTTGAAACTGGTCCTGTGACTTGTACCCGGATGTGGTTCCAGAGACTTCTGATTGCAGGCCCTGGGCTCATAAGCCAGCCAGCCAGCCATCCCAAGGGCATCATAGGTCCAACCCTCCAGGGCGGGATGTATGTTTTTACTGGAGCAGTTGGCAGCTCAGTTATTGGCACTCACAGGTGTGCTCAGTTATTGCAGGCCTGACTCATCGCCTGCATTCTCCTGCTTAGTGCTGCCACAGGCTGCCATTCCTCACCCAGACTTGAGGGGTGGGGAGGTACTGGGGTTGAGGGGAGTAGGGAAAGGGAGGGAGACCAAAATTTGCTAATACCTGCTGTGTCCCTGGTGCTTTACTGGGTGCTCTGTGCACGTCTATGCTTTAATCCCCATGAAAAGCACTTAGAATAGATACTGGTATCTTCATTTCCAAATGAAAGAAAAAGAAAACAAACTTGGAGAATTTAGGTACCTTTTTCATGATGATACAGTGAGTAGAGCAGAGTAAGTCGGCAGTGTGTTGATGCCAGAACCCATGGCTATTCCTTTTCATGTGCTGCTCCACATCTACCTTCCTTGTGGGGCGGTGGGTGGTCTTGGCCTTCTTATGGAAACCTTGATGGTGTAGTACAGTCTTAGAGGCAACAGCGAAAGCCCAGGATCCCAGCCTTATTACTAGCCATGTAAGCAAGTCACTGCAACTACCTGGGCCTCATCTGCAAAATGGAGATAAACTTCAGTGTCTGTACTTAAGCAGTTTGTATGGAAATCAGAGTAGATGGTATGACTGGGAACCCTGTTGGCATCAGGCCTGCATGAGCATGCTGTAACAGACTTGAGATACGAGTTCCTCTTTTCCTTCCTCCTTCCCCATCTCTAAGTAGGGCCTGTGAGTGGAGCCTAAGGTACAGTTCAGGCTGATCTTTCTTTAAGAAAATGCGTATCAGAGCTGGATTGATCTGGGTTTGCTCTCAGTGCTGACACTTAGCAGTATATGCGTGACCTTCAATAAGACCTTGACCCCTTTGAGCTTTGGTTTCCTGTCCATAAAGTAGAAGAAAAAGCACCTTGTTGGTCTGTTAGGCTTAAAAGAGATGAGTACATTTGGTGTTTGCCACTAAAATGTTGGTCCTGTTCCTCACTCTGGGAGCTGGTGCTCTGGGGGACTGCATTCACATACTTCTCTCCTTCAAAAAGCTGCAGGTGCATAGGACCATCCTCCCCTTCCATTCAGCCATGTTTTGAACTAACATGTATAACACTATGTGACAAGACCTATGCTGTGGCTGATGATATGGCTGTGGACAGGGCAAACTCACCCGGTTGCTGTTGGTGGGGGAGTAGAAAGACACAGAACGTCATCATACCCATACATGCTTATGGGCATAGAATTCTGGGCAGTGCTGTGAAGAAGTTAATGTACTGGGTGGCTAGGGAAAGGCTCCCTGAGTGACAGGCCGGGCCTGAAAGATAAATACGGTATGCAAGGGAAGAAGGTGGGCTGGATTGACTGGGAGAAGAATTTCTTAGAAGATGGGTTTAAACCCTCTGGACTTGACCCCACTGGTCAACGAGGCCCAGGCACAGGGAGTGGAGTGCAGAGAGGCCAGGCTTCAGCAGCCAGGAGATTTTACTGTTTATCGAGGGCATCCTTCATGATTAATGATGCCTCCTGGGGCAGCCTGGAGACTCAGGCGGAGCCAGGACCTGAACTTTGAATCCCAGCTCTGCATTGAGCCCCTGAGTATCCTTGAGCCCCTGTCCTTTTTGAGACACAGTTTTCTCCCATCTGTAGCATGGAAAAAAATGAACCTGCTTTGGAAACCGTAGAGTCCTCACACAGGTGTAAGGGGTCATCATGGCCTCAGTCCATGAGGGATTTGGAGCGATTCATGAAAATACAGTATAAAAGGATACATTTAGTAGTGGGTCAGAGGGAAATTATTGGTAAAAAGACAGAAGCTGGGCTGATCAGCAGCTAAAATTCATTTCACTGTATCTCCCTAAACATTTGCAGAGGTAGGTAGGCTGCTAGATTGACTGAATTCTTCCTGGCTGCCTGAGCAAAGAGAGGATTGGGTACTTGATTCAAGATGCCTTAAGGTATTAGGGGAAAAAGTGACTGTGGAAAAGCATGATTTTTTCCCCCTGCACTGCAGCTGACTCTGGCAGGGCAACATTGTGCATTGGTAACTGCTTGTTTGTCCTGTTTACAGGTCCTCTGGAAACACTGGGCAATGAACTGGAGACACCAGCCCAGAGTGGTCTGAAGCCCTTTGAGAAAGCAGAGGGATCCTGGGGAAGATGGCCATGGCCCCAAGCTCTTCCCTGGCTCAGGTGTACACCAGCCCTGTGGCTGTGGTCGTGTGGGAGTGGCAGGATGGGCTGGGCATCTGGCACCCCTACAGTGCTACTGTCTGCAGCTACATTGAGCAGCAGTTTGTCCAGCAGAGGGGCCAGCGCTTCGGGCTGGGGAGCCTGGCTCATAGCATTCCCTTAGGCCAAGCTGACCCTTCGCTGGCCCCTTACATCATCGACCTCCCCAGCTGGACCCAGTTCCGCCAGGACACTGGTAAGACGTGTTCTGCCTCTGGTGTGTGTCTGAGTACCTGCTTTGGGCTGGGCACCATGCTAGGTGTTGGAGTTACAGAATTGACTCTAAGAGCTTAATCCTGTCCCTGATAAACATAGCGTTGGGAGGTGGGTACTGTGAGTGATAGCAGGTACCACACAATGTGAGATGCACAGTAGGTCTTCACTTAACGTTGTCGATAAGTTCTGTGACTTTAAGTGAAACGATGTATAATGAAACCAGTTTTACCACAGGCTAATTGGTATAAACGAGTTAAGTTACTATGGCATCTCATTAACTTTTAATGAAATAACATTATTTGAGTCCCTACTGTACCTCTTAGTAGTAGAGGGTACCTTAGGAGCACAGTGCAGAGGCCCTCCCAGCCCTTTTCCTCCTTGTTTCCCAAACCAAAAATGCCTGCCTCCACCTGCAGGGATTTGAGGTCTCGCTGGCAGGTGGCAGCAGCATGGAGGTGGTGTGCCATTTTAGTTAAGAGGGCCTTGCCCTAGCCAGTTTTGCTCAGTGGTTAGTGTGTCGCCCTCAGACTTAAGGGTCCCAGGTTTGATTCCAGCCAAGGGCATGTACCTCGGTTGTGGCCTTGATTCTTGTCCCCTGTTGGGGCTTGTGCAGGAGGCAACCAATCAATTTGTCTCTCTCACATCGATGTTTCTCTCTCCCCCTCCCTTCCACTCTCTAAAAAGTAATGGAAAAAAATATCCTTGGGTGAGGATTAAAAAAAAAAAAAGAGGGCCTGGTGATTAGTTCTGGCTCCAGTACACTGTAGCTGTGTGACCTGGGCAGGTTACTTCACTCTCCTGTGTGCTCATGTTTGGTTTTATTATATGTTTTGATCAGTATTACTGAGAATGGGGCCACCAACTTCCTCCCAGAGTTTGTCCTGTCCCTCTAACCCAGTAGTTCTCAAATGGAGGTGATTTTGTCCCCCAGGACATTTGATAAGGTCTGGAGACATTTTTGATTGTCATGACTGTGGGGCGGGTGTTACTGGCATCTAGTGGGTAGAAGCCAGGGATGCTGTTAAACATCCTACAGTGCACAGGACTGGCTTGGGGACAGGGAGTTATTCGCCCGAAGTGTCACTTGTTTCCAGAAACCCTGCTCTTATCTCTGTAGTAGCCTCCTCAGGCAAGTGAGGACTAAGGCTTCCAGTTGGATGTAGATAAAAGTCCCTGCCTTCATGATGTTTGCAGGAAACTGAGAAAGGCCGCACACAAGATAAATAACGTGTAAATTGTGTTTTATGTTAGATAGCAAGCAGTAAGTGTTAATCAGGGAGTGGAAGTGTAGTGTTGGGAAAGGTCAATTTGAAGTTTGAGCTTTGATGGCACTGGCAAGGGATGGAGACAGACCTGAAGGAAGGGCAGGAGGGGCGGGGGAAGTTCTGCAGTGCTTTTCAGCCATTCAGAGGGACTGCTTTTATTCTGAAAGAGGGAGCCTTGGAAGGATTTGAACAGAGGGACGTAATCCCATTTGGAGTAAAGAGCATCCCTCTTGCTGCTGTGGATGGAGGCAAGGGCTGCTGCAGTTGAGAGACCAGGTGGAAGGTAATTGCAGTGATCACCTTTTGGCAAGTGCTGTTGGAAGCATGGCCTAAATTTATTTTTCTTTTCTCCTTAATCTTCAGGTTTGATTTTATTAAGTATATAAACTAAGCTAAGCATGGTGTTACCCAATATTTACTACTTGAGAAGTCAAAGGGAATGGTACACCATATAAGAGAATTACGGCCCGGCCGGGCATGGCTCAGCCATTGAGCATCGACCTAGGATCCAGGGGATCAGGGTTCAATTCCCGGTCAGGGCACATGCCCAGGTTTCGGGCTTGATCAGTGACTCTCTCATCATTGATGTTTCTATTTCTCTCTCTCCCTCGTCTTTCCTCTCTCTAAAATCAATAAAGATATATTTAAATAAATAAATAAATAGAATTACGTAATTATAATGAGATTTACAAAGTTTTAGAGACATATGAAATACTTACTGCATAATACATGAAAATAGCAGGAAACATTTTTCAGTGTGATTCTCAGCTACCTGAATGTATGTGCCTAGATGGGAAGAAATGCATTGCAGTATAAATTATGTGCTTTCCTCTTGGTGGTTGGATTATGGGAGATTTAATTTTCTTTGTATTTTTTCGTTTTCAATTTTTTAAGTGAGGCTGTATAGGTTTCATCATTAGAAATATTTTTTAAAGCCTCACTGAGTCTGAGCCACAGCAATTCTTTGACCTAAGTTTCTAGCACCCCCCACTTCTGCCCAGGAGCATGGATCCTCTGCTGCTACTTGATCCCTTTGGGCCACACGTTTTTTACTATCCTTCACCCCAAATTTGGAAAGAACAATCAGTGCCAACCTTTAGGTCAGATGGCACCATGACCCTATATATACCATGATGATCATATTGGTTTATTTTGGTTGTAGAAAAAAATAATTTTTAAACTCCCTTTGTTTTGGAGGTGTTAGCAGATTAACCATTTATATGTAATATTCCTTCTAAAACAGGCACCATGCGGGCTGTGCGGAGACATCTGTTCTCCCAGCTTTCAGCCCCGGGCCGGGGCATTGTCTGGGAGTGGCTGAACGACGATGGCTCCTGGACGGCCTATGAAGCCAGCATTTGTGACTATCTGGAGCAGCAGTTGGCTAGTGGCAACCAGCTTGTAGACTTGGCACCTCTGGGGTACAACTACCTCGTCGACTATGCCACCCACACACAGATCAACAAGAGTTCGAACTTCTGCCGTAATGTGCGGCGCCAAGTAGGGCCTCCTTACCCAGTGACCACCATCATTGCTCCACCGGGCCACACGGGAGTTGCCTGCTCTTGCCATCAGTGCCTCAACGGCGGTGGAACTGGCCCTGTGTCAGGCCGCTACCGCCATTCTATGACCAGCCTCCCTGCTTACTCTATCCCCCAGCCCCCCCAAAGGACTGCTAGTGTCTTTGGGGCCCACCAGGCCTTTGCCCCATATAGTAAGCCCCCACTCTCGGGGGCTAGGTCTGCGCCCAGGCTGAATACCACCAACCCCTGGGGTGGGGTGCCACCCTCCTTGGGGAGTCAACCCTTTTATTGCTCTAGCCTCTCCTACCTGGGACCTCAGCACCAGCCCCCAGGATCATCCACTGCCAGTGGAGCCAGGTACCTTGTTATTGGAGTCATTTTGTCCACCCATGTACCTTGTCAGCAGGCTTGAGTTTTGCCTTTACTTAGTTGGGAAGATTTGCCCAAATACCTGCAGACTTGGCACCTGCTTCCTTTGTTGTTTCTGCTATGTTGTCTCCTTTGCATGTGCCATGTGGTGCCACAGCTGTCCACAGCCTTGCATCCCACAGAGCAAGGGACTTGAATATTAATAGTTGCCACACTGGTTAAAACGAGTAATCCCTCCACTCAGGAGACTCGAGCTTTCTGTGTAGAGCAGCTACCTACCTTTTGGCTGTGCCTGTGTGCCATGCAGCTGGTACCGTGTGCCTGAGAACATTTCATTGACTCCTATGTGTCAGGCACTGAGGACACAGACCTGGAAGGTTCAGTCCCCTCCCTAAGCCCACAGTCTTGTCCAGGGGAGAGTTGTGACCTCAGCTTTAGTGCTTAGACATTGGTTGAGGAGAGGGCAAAATGTTGGGGGGGTGGCAACAGGTGACATAGGACAGCTTCTGTGCTGATGCATTCCAGCCCAGTGTCTATCAGAGCTCTCTGCACCTTGAGAAAGAGGATGAAATAGGCCCCATCCAGACCAATTGACACTTTAAAGTGAGAAAAGCTCCTGGAGTGGCCAGTTGGGCTGTGCCCCTGGGCTGCTCAGACACCTGTCACTGACGAAGGCCTTGTCATTGATCATTATTGAGGGTGTTGGGTTTGAAAAACATTTTGAGAATTGAGAGTGGTAGTTGGGAGGGGGGCTGATTTCTGAGAGAGGGTGACCTGGGCAGGTAGTTACATGTGGGCCCGTGGCTGCCCTGTTTTCCAGGGAGTCAGCATATTGTTGATTTGCACTACTATCAGCCAGTCAGCATCTTGGTGCTGCCTCACTCACCCAGCCCCAGCCCTGCCCACTTGACCACAGTGAGGGCTGAGGCTTTCTAGTGTGGCTGAGACCTTGGCAGCTTGGGCCTCTAAAATTTTTTCAAGCTAGGTTTCAGAGGGCCCTGCAAGCTTCTAGAAGACACAGTGACTATTGCCATTCACTGAGCACACATTATAGCCAGCCCCATTGAGCAGGCTGTGTGAGTAATTTCATTAATCCTCATAACAGCCAGGTAGTGGGTGGTGTCCTTAGCTTACAGGTGAGCACCTTGAGGCTGACAAGATTGGCAGCACAGCCAGAAAGTGGCAAAGCTGGGATTAAACTGAGGCCCCAGGGTAGGCCATGTGGGACACATGTAGTTCTTGAAGCTCTCTTAAAGGCAGAAGAAGAGGAAGGCAGAAGGTGTCCAGAGGGATGAGTGTGGAGGAGTCTAGGAATGGGTCGTTAGTGGGTCAGGGCATCTTCCTGGGCATTTTGTCCTTCTGAGAGTTGTGGCATGTAGATCTGAGATTTTTCTAGGAATTGGAAGCTTAGACAGTTTTCACTTGCGCCTTCTCTGTGGACTTTCACATAGATATAAGCAAGCAGGACTCTGTGCAAGCCTAGTTCCACCCAGTGCCCTTTTGAGGTCCCCTCCAGTATGTAGGCCAGTCTGTTTTAGGGAAAAGTATGCTGTATCTGCCAGCCCAGAATGACTATCAGTAGGGCTAGAGCTTCTACTAGATCAGTTTTACTTAGCCTCCTGGGGTTTCTTACGTTCTTACAAATTATTTCAAGGCAAATTTCTAGATGGTTCTAGAGGGGGGATTCTGGGATTGAGCTAGGTGACATAATAGGCTTTGTCACTTTCTCCTGGTATGGGGCTTTCATTGCTTTCCCCTCCCCAGCCTGAGGCTCAAGAGACTGTCTGTTGATGTGGACTCAATTGGTACAGGCCAGGCAAGTTACTAAAGGGAAAGTGGCTGGGCCAGACGGTCTTACCTTTGTTGCTGGGCCATGCATGTTGCTGCTTGTCCTGCATTGTAAGCCAGGAGGGAACCAGGCCAGCTGGCTCTGTTAGTTGAAACAGCCTCAAAGGGACCTGCCTCCTAAGGTGGATGTTCATCTTTATCTCCTACAGCTTTTTGGGAACTGGGAGGGGTGATCTTTACTTGCATGGGCCTATCCCCACTTTGAAAAACTAGGTTTTCCTGTATCTAATTTGTAGTGGGGCCCTCTTCAGTTAACCCTTCTCTGGTGAGTGTTGTAGAGCCAGAGGGGGCTTGATAAATAGCTGACTTCTTAACCCAGTGAGGATGGGAGGATTGAAAACACTTGGCAACTTGGTCTCCCTAGGGGCTGTGGTATAGTTCTTGAAGCCAAATGAATGTCAACAGCATCAGGTGAAAGTTACCGTGTGTGTGGAGGAGAGGAGAAGGCAGCAGGGCAGGCAGTGCCATAGGCTGGGGAAGCCTGAGAACCAGCTTTGTTTACTGGTAGGCACTGGAAAGAACATGTAAGTTAGTAAAATAAAAATTTGTGGAACCCATGTGGTTTCAGATCGTTTCTTGCTCAATCTGGGTAAAACCTTGGCTGACTGATTTCCTTGTACCCTGAGAGGCTTTTTGAGTAGGCAGCAATACATTGAGAAGGTACATCATTTGTTACTGAGCTGCTGGATTTAAATGAATTTCCTGGTCTCTGAAGTTTATCCCTTTAAGCACCAAGCTTGTGTTTTAATGATGTTGGGTGGAAAACTTTCCAAAATGTGTCATGCACACTCCTGTCTTTTTTAATAGAGGGTGTACTGGCTTGCATATTTTAATGACTTGGGGTGGTGATTATGACCAACAGTCTATTGCAGCTTTGGTGTGACTAAGCCTCAGCACGCTTTATCTCTGAACTAAACAGCCCTAGAAAATGGCTCTTCCAGTTTGCTTTCATTTGCTCTGTTCTCACTGCTGTCCTCCCTTCCTCTAAAGGCACCCCACTCCCTCCTGCTGTTGGCCAGGCTCTTTAGGCTTGTGTGATTTGAAGTCCTGGGTTCCAGGTGGGACCTTCCTCCTGACTCACTGTAGGCCTCTGGGCCAGCTCTGTTCCCTTTCCAGGTCTCTTTTCACCTGTTAAAATTAAGGAGTTGGGCTGACCAATTTTTGAAGTTTCCTTTTGCTCTAATATTTCTGTGGGTTTCAGGGGTTTAGTGAGGGCCCTGCAGAAAGGTGCCCGGCAGCCCTTCAGCTTTCCTGTACCCCCTTTGCTCCTCTGAGACCTGGGAAACAATGGATATTTGTATTGGGGTACAGATCAAGCCTTGCAATTGCCCCGGGGGCCTTTTGGAATTATTCTCATCTTACAGATAGAGAAATTGAAGCTCAGAAAGGGGACTCAACATCCCTAAGGGCACATAGCTTTAAGTGGGAGCAGGCATTGGAAGTGAGGTGTCCACACTCCACAACGAATGGTCCTTGTACTGTACATGCTCTCAGAGGTCCGCCAGTTGGTGCTGGCTTCCTAGCCTTTGGTGAGCTGGAGGGAGGCCTTGCATTTTTTTACTTTTCAGCCTCCTAGCACTGCCCTTTACCTGGGACTGTCAAATTCTGTCTGTCCTCATGTATCATTTTCTCAGCTCCATTTGGAAGCTCTAGGAGATGGTCTCAGACAGGAAGGCCAGGTAGAGCCCAGTAGGTAGACCCAGGAAGTGGGGAGGCCTGAGGCAGTGACAGAGAATTCTCAGACAAGGGCACTTCATGGACCAAATGATGCCCCACATTGGGAACATTCTGCTTGTCTGAGCTCTTTGAGGATGGTGGAATGGATTGGTGACCTTCAAGGTTCTGTTCACTCCTGAGAGTCTCCATCTTGGGAACCACTGGATCCTTATTCTCCATTTCCTCTGATCAGAGCAGGGAAATGTGGGGAGGAGCTGGGATAATTCATAGGGGAAGTGGTCACATTGGGAGACCTCTAAGCAAATAAAACTTAGTCATGGCTCCTGGTCCCAGTTTTGGGGTGAGCTGCCCACTAGAAGCCTCACTGCACGTGTTTTCTGCTCTAGTTCTTGTGGGTGGAACCTAAAATTAGGCCATCTCCCTCAGATATGTGCCTCTCTTTGGTGAAGGAAGACCACACTTCCTGGAGAACCTCTGGGCCAGTGGTGCCGAGCCCACTGAGTAGTTCACTAATTTTGTGCAGTTGTAGAGCCAAGCTTCTGCTTTCCAGCTTCCTAGGTAAGGCCTCAAGCTCAGTGCTCCCTGGAGAGTTGGCTTGGGAGATGAAAGATGCCTGGAAGGGCTATATCTTCTTGAATTCCTTTACTTACAGAACCTGAGAATTGCAAAATAATCTACCTTCTTTTTAAAGAACAAATGGGTGAAGAGAAGAGGCTCAGAAAGTGGGGTAAGGAGTAGAGCTGGAGCTTGTTCCAAATTAAACAGAGGTTAGTGGGCCAAAACCTTAGCCCAGGTGTCCTGAACACCCAGCCCTTCCATTGCATTATTAGAGCACTCCAGGTCCAATTCCATTGTTCTCTTGAGGATGAGAGTAGATGAGGAGGGCAGGAAGCTGCTATTTGAGTAGTATGGCCACACAAGGTATTCTGATTGGGAAAACAATCCAGGAATGAAAACAAAACAACCTCTTTCTTCACTCAGGCATACCAGAGCACCTGCTGTTTTATGGACCCCATGTGAGGCCCCAGCAGCTTCAGCACCAGCTATATGTGAGGCTTTTCTGGTTTGGATCAGAGCCAGCCAGATCCCTGTAGTTTCCACCAGCGGGATCTGTGACCCATAGCTGGTGGTAGGGAAGGATCTGGGGCAGCTTCTAGAGAAGCATTTGCTGTAACCAGGCAAGTTGTTGGTTTGCTGGCAGCTATAAGGGCGGTGCGGTAGACTGGAGCTGTCCTTTTCCTGAGCACCTTCCCACCACCTGGCTCCTGGCTGGGCCCAGTAGAAAAGAGACAAAGGTCCCGTCCTTGGGAAGCTCCAGTGTAGGGATTACATGGAAGGGTTTCATAACTCTTCTTATTTCATAATTTTTAACATGGGCATGGAAGGACACAGGAATCAGGGTTGGGGTATCTGTGTCATGTTGACTGGTATGTGGGGCCATCTACATCAGTTGTTCTCCAGTGTGGGGCTGCCCACAACCATAATGACATGGGTTTGTTATTTAAAAATATAATGGCCTTGCCCGGCTGGGCGTGGCTTAGTGGTTAAGCATTGACCTAGGAGCCAGGAGATTGAGGTTCAATTCCCAGTTGGCATGTGCCTGGGTTGTGGGCTTGATCCCCAGTTGGGCATGCAGGAGGCATCCGATCAATGATGACTCATCATTGATGTTCCAACTCTCTCTCTCCCTTTCCCTTCTTGTCTCTGAATCAATAAAGATATATTTTAAGAAAATAATAAAAGTATAATGGCCTTGCCCTGGTTGGTTTGGCTCAGAACAAGGTTGGAGCTTTCACCTGAGGACTGAAGGGTCTCAGATGCGATTCCTAGTCAAGGGCAGGTACCTGGGTTGCAGGTTTGATCCTGGACCCAGGTCGGGGTGCGTGTGGGAGGCAACCAATTGATGTGTGTCTCTCACATCTCTCTCTCTCTCCCTCCCTTCCATCCACTCTCTAAAAATCAGTGGAAGAAATATTCTCTAGTGAGGATTAACAAACAACAACAAAATAACGGCCTAAAGCCAAATGAGTGACTTGAACATAGTCACTGTGAGAAGCAAGACCCTCATTTAAAAAAAACAAAACCCCTTTATTTTGAGCAATTTTAGATTTACAGAAAAGTTACAAAAATAGTACAGGGTTTCCAATTTCCCTTACTTTACTTCTCATGTTAACATCTTTCGTAACCATAGTGCAGTTTTCAGAACCAGACAGTTAACGTTGGTGCAGTATGTTAACTAAACCAATTTTCAACCACTGTGCTCATTCTGTGTCTTGTTATTTGCATCCAGTTGTCAATTCTCTTCCTCCTACGAACCGTGACAGTTCTTTGGTCTTTGTTCATCTTCTGTAACCCTGACACTTCTGTAATTACTTTGTTAAATGTCCCTTAGTTTGGATTTGTTAGATGTCTTCTCATGATTTGGACTGAGTTTATGCAATCTTGGCAGGAAATGCAAAAATGGTGGTGTGTCCTCGGAGCATTGTTTCTTGGGGTTCCTGATACTGATTGGGCATATTACTAGCGATGTTGGTCTTGATCACTTCTTAGAGTGGCTTCTGCCGGATTTTCCTTCTACAGCTACCTTAGAGCTCTCATTTTGAAGAAGCAGGAAGCTCAAAATTTTTTGTCTTCAGAGTCTTGATTTCCCAGGAAAACATATTTTGACAGTTAAAGCTTCTTTGTAAAGAGATGAGACCTCACACCCAGCGGTGCCTGCCTGCCATTCCTTCCTGTCCAACACCTGGCCTGGAGTTTGATTCTTATCACTTGATTTTTGCAGAGGGAGTGATAGTGGATGGGAATCTGTGCTTAACTTCTTAAAGTATTCAGATTCTATAGGCTAGTTCTGATCTGAGAGTGGTAAAATTCAGATTTCTTTGCTCTTATTTTCAGATACTCTTCATCAGGATCTTTAATTTAAAAAAAGAAAAAAGCAGAAGCCCTCTCACAAAAGCAGCTGTAGAAAATGAAACTGTGATGGGGCCTCAGCAACACCAGTGTATCCTAACCTGGTGTTTCTCTGGCTCTTGTTTCTGCTAAGTTGGCTTCACACACTAAGCTTTGCTCTCTTCTCTCCAAGTGCCTCCATGCCCAGCGGTCCTGTGAGCAGCCCTGGGAACATTCCTGCCACTGTGCCCGTGCAGATGCCGAAGCCCAGCAGGGTCCAGCAAGCCCTTGCAGGTAGGCAGGCTGCTCTCAGGCTCTGGGGTTCGGAAGAGACTCTGGCTGGAAAGACTTGGGGGCAGTGGGAGGAGATTGTGGGATGAGGGTCTTGTTTTACCCTCTGTATTCTCATGGAAACCCAAAGGGTCTCCTTTGGGGGTGGCAATGCCTCTTGTCAGTGATGGTATACCTCTGGTGAGCAAGCCTGGGGTACCCTTCCTTTCTCTTTTATGGGGTGGGTGTCCTGGTGTGAACCTTTCCCTACCTTTAAAATTTTATTTTATTTTTAATTTATTGATTTTTTTTTTTTTTTTTGAGAGAGAGAAACATCGATTTTTTTGGTGCACCCATTTATACCTTCGTTGTTTGATTCTTGTATGTGCCCTCACCAGGAATCAAACCCACAACTCTGGTGTATCGAGACAATGCTCTGATCAACTGAGCTACCTGGCCAGGGCACCATCTTTTAAATTTTCACATCACCTTGAATCATGGTTCGAGAGTCACTTCTGTATACTGAAGTGCATTAGGCATTTCCCTAAGAGGGCCTTCTGGGAAAGTTCCAGAACTATTTGGTTGAAGTGATGTTATGAATAAGTGGTTTTTGTGTCTAGCTAGATCTTTTGTTAACCATACATCTTGGAACTTTTTTTAAGTTCTTTTTACAGGTGTTAGGGGGGCACTGAAAGATATTTTTTAACTTAGAGAAATATAAAGTGTGATAGAAAGGTAGACGTAGTGTAGTGAGCCTCCATCATTTAAGGACCAAAGCAGGGAATAAGATAAGCAGTGTGTATGTGTTAGGTGAGTTGCTATGGTAACACCGGGAATTGGAGGAGACAGCCCTGGAGGCAGGGAGACCCTCGTGGAGCCCGACTTCCCTTGTGGAGCCTGACTTCATGCCTCAGGTAAGCCAGCCAAGGCCTGATCAGTGCCGTGGCAGTGGGATGGAGGTCAGAGCTTCTGACTTGGTGATGGGCCTGGCTGTGAGAGAAGGGCTAGAACAAGGCCTGGTGTACAGCTGCTCATGGCAGTATTGTAATAAATCATTGGTGAGGATTAACTAGGAGCTTTGTATGTGTGTTGATGAACTTCTCATTTTACACTTGAGGAAACTGAGGCTCAGAGATTTCTAAAACTTGCCCAGGTCAGCCAGCTTGTTCTTGGAGAGCGGGGATGCAGCCTCAAGCATTCTGTTCTCAGACTCTAGCCTCTTAGCTGTTACACTGTGCTGCTCCTGAGTCTGATGGGAGGGGTAGGTGGCAATGACTGTGTATAGACAGAACTGGCCTGGAGGCAGTGGGAGTTTGGACATGCAGCTCAGACGAGCAGTCTGGGGTGCAATGGGGTGGCCTTTGCCCTGCCCCATGGGAGTGTGTGAGCTTACAGAGACCATGGGTGGGACACTGGGAAGAAGAGCCCTTGAAGGAAATGGAAGGACTAGTCAGGAAGTAAATAGAAGATGGGAGAATGGGGCTAGGAAAGCTCCAGGAGGGGGACCCTACCCTGCAGGCCTTCTGGCACTGACTTCAGCTACTCACATCCTCTACTGGGACAGAAAGAAGTGAGCAAAGGTGGTGACTAAAAAGTTCCTGCCCAGTTTAGGTCTTCTTGTGGCATGAGATGTCATAGATGAGTCGGGGGGGTGGTGTTTGTGCGTGCGTGTGAGTACATGTGTGTGGTGGTGGTCTTGTTGGAGAAAGGTTGTGAGTGAACAGGCCTGGCCCTCACATGACACAGCTCCATTCTGCTTTGTAATCACTAAGAATTTAACACACGTTATAATAACTTCTAGAAGTGGTCTGGGTATTGAGTAGCTCTTGCTCCCTTTTCTTCTGTTCTTGAGGCTGAGGACCCTCTCCAGACTAGGTTCCAGATTATCCTCTCTTGTGTCCAGTATTTTTGCCATAGCATCTTTGCTGTAGACATTTTTCCACATAACTATTTGGCTATAAGGCAGTTTTTCCATAAAAAAAGGTAAAATAACTGGTTGACAGTTTTTTTGTGTGGTTTTTTTTTTTTGGTTGGTTTGGTTTCTCTTTTGGTTGGTTGGTTTATTTCTCTATTGAGGAGGTGGTGGAGAAAATACTTAAATAATAGTGGTGGTTAAAATAGCATTTCTTGCTCTAGCCAGTTTGGGTCAGTGGTTAGAGCATTGGCCTGAGGACCAAAGGGTCCCGGGTTCAATTCTGGCCAAGGGCACATACATTGGTTGCAGGCTCAATCCCTGGCCCCTGCTGGGGCACGAGAGGGAGGCAGCCAGTTGATTTGTGTCTCTCACATCAATATTTCTCTCTCTTTCTCCCTTCCATTCTCTCTGAAAAGCAATGGAAAAAATATCCCTGGGGGAGGATTGGGGAAAAAAAAAAAGCATTTCTGCATTTCTTTCAGATGACGATGATTTGCCCCAAGAGATAGTTGGTTTCTTATTTTGAAACACACTACATTGGGAAAAGAGAGAAAAAGAGTTGAACCCACACTTCCCATAGGACAGAGACAAGTGCTTATGTACAAACCACAAAATAAAATCAGATGTTGGTGCAGTATTGCCATGAATCAGCACACATTTTAAAGGTAGTCAGATACTTTATATTTCCCAATATATATTTTTAATTTCGTGATTCTTTTAATGTCCCTTTTTGTCACAATTTTTTCTTTTTTTATGGCAAAATTGCTTTATGGCCAATTAATTATGCAGCAAAATGTTTATGGCAAAAATGCTTGTAGCAAAAATGCTACAGTGAAAGAACCTAGAACTAACTGTTCTCACTGTCCCCCATTGCCTTGGCTCTCAGAGCAATCCTGCAGGTGAGTGGGTATTTTAACCTTCATTTTACTTATTAGGGAAACACTCTAAAGGTTCAGGAACTTGGTCCCAGCTAGAAAAGAATAGAGACTGGAGGCCATGGCCAGACCCCACCTACCCTTAACGCAAGCCTCTGGCTTGTACCTGTTGTTGGGCCCATTGTCTAGGGCCAGAGAATGAGAGATCCCAGGCCAGCCCCACAAGAAGCAGGGTCTGGAGAGTGTTCTTTCAGCCTGGGCTATGTTTATGGGTTTGGGAATATGGATTCGGGCATGGCTGCAGTGAGGTGAGCACTTGGACACAGGGTTTTGCAGGTAAGTTTATAAATAAGTGACCATGATGTTGGACTGTGTACCCCTGTGCACTGGCAGAGGAGGTCCACAGAGGAGCCACCTCCAGGTCAGGCCAGGAGTGCCTCAGGTGGCAGCTTCACTGGCTACGGCTT